ATTGAAAAGTTCAAATAGGAACATGAAAAATTAATTCAACAAGATTTTTTAAATATAGAGTAGCAAAGTGGTAAAAACTAAATTACTTCAGATATGAATAGAAAAAAACTTATTATTTTGAAAAGACATCAAATTTACTTGAAAATCAAACAATAAAAAGTTTAGATAAAAAGTAACAGTTATATCTATTTAGTATTAACGTTTTTGATCTTATTTTGTTTAATTTCATGGGTAATTTAGCTTTAACTTTTACTTTCCCAAATTTAATTTTTACGGGTTATAAAATATTTTATCATAAACTCGCATATACGTGGATCTTTTACATGTTTAGTGTTTAGTGTTTTTTATTTTAACCATCATGACTCATGGTACATCTATATAAACAATAGTACATTTTTCTAAGAAAAACATTCAACGTGATTGTAGTTATAACTTAAACAGATTTGACCAAGCAAAATAAAGTTAAAATAATTGAAAGCATGAAAATTTGAAAAAAAACTAAAATATCTTCATTGAATATCTTGAAGAAAAAAAACTATATTCCACATGCAATTGTAATTTTTAACCAATTACAATATTTGATTTTTGATTTAAAGAATTTTGACCCAAAAAAAAACAATTACAATTTTTAAATATATTGATTTACAGCTAAAATTGTAAAACTAATTAAAATATTCCGAATCGAATATCGTCGAGACAATTCTGACAGCATCAATGGCCATTTTACCAGGAGTTAGATGCGGTTATTTTTAGTGATAAGAAAATTAATACCATTTATAATGGAAAATAAAATGTAAATAGCTTTTTTTTGGGTAAAAAAATGTAAATAGCTTAAACGATGCAATCTTTAATATATTGAGATACTAGTGATTGTCCATGCGTTGCGTGAGATTTAAAGTTAATATGGTAAAATATGTAATAATTTATAATGTATTGATTATTTGTGTATTTAATATCATATAAATCTAGTGTTTATAGTAAATAATTATCTAAGTTAGAAAACTAACCATTTGTACCAAATTGTTGTATAAATACAATGCAATAGGCAAAAAAGAGAAATGACTATTACAACATAAAAAAACATCTTTGTTGACACAAATCCTTAACTTGTATGTATTTATCTATATTCACT